TGACATGCACAAACTTATTGTATTAGAAATGGTCATAATTGATTAATGAGTTGGCTGCCATCGTATATTTGAGTAAAGTTGAATGAGAATCCAATGAAATTGTAAATATATAAGACTCTTAGAAAAACTTCTACTTTGGCATATTTCACTGATGAATCAGCATCAGCAGAAAATAATTTTAGTTTACAAGAACAAAGTTTACATTAGCAAGACAAATCACAATTAAATCTGAATGCTTGATTTTTACTTTATCATTATAGAAATTAGGTTTTAACTAATTTAAATGTTTTCTTTATTTTATCCAAATTGTCTTACATATTTACTGTATGAAAATCAAACAACATAAAAAAGAAAAATAACACAATGTCTCTCTTCTTTTTTTTTTTCTCCATATCTCATTCTCTGACGAAACTTTAATAAAAGTGATAAATGTTTCCTATTTGTTCTTTATCCTATCATTGTCAGATATTCCAATCCATATTGGATCTGAATTTTATCCCAATTCATATTTACCATATATAGAAGAACCATTTCTCAGTATAACAACCATTTTCATATTTGTATGGTTTTAGAGCCACACAGAAGACACTTTTACCAAATCAATTCTAAATACAAAAGAAAAAATGCAGCTGCAATCACTCATTTGATAATGTGCAGCATTTTTCATCATCTTTATAATATTCATTTACTTTATGGAATTATTTTGAGCAAATCAAATTCAAATACTTTTATTACCTTGCTTTTTGTTTTTTTGTTGTTTTTTTTTTGCACAGTTGACCCAAATATGTGTGTTGGCTATGCTACTGAAATCTTGTCTTTTTTACAATTTGGTCTTGTCATAGATGAATATCATTTGGTGTTTATACTTAGCATCACCAATGACTTTCTTTTTATCTCTTGAGCAGCTTAAGATTAAATGCAAGAGAAAGAAACTGAAGATGTTAGAAATTAAGAAGTTAGTATCTGGCATTTAAACTAATGTTGTTGTCAGAGAAACTTTTAATGGCTTATAATTTTGTTTGCACTAAAAGTACCGAGCTATCCATGTTATTTTGGTATCTATAATATCTACTTCAGTCTGTTTAGTCTCTTGCTCTTGTACTCTCTCTGTTTATACCTATTTAAATTATAATCTGTTCAAAATAATTGGTTTATTTTTTTTGATCAAGTAAAGGTGTGTATGTAAAAAAAAATCTTATCTTTATTTTAAAATATTGGCAGGAATTTGTGAGAACATACAGAATATTGTATAATGGAATGGCCAGGGGATGAAGATAATTGTGTTTTATGGCACTTCTAAGAGTATGCCTGCCTTGAAAATCAACAATCAAAATCTTGGCTTTGGTCTGTGCTTGAACACTGACCTTTAGCTCTGGTAGGAAATACAGGTTTATTTCAGGCATGAAGCAGGCTGCATGAATATTTGTGCTCTCCCTTATATAGTGTGCCTGAGCAAAGCTTAAAAAAATAGAAAATAAACCGATGTGGAATGGCATGGTGTTTGGAACAAAGGAAGCAAGTAGTTAATACATAATTTATTGACTCTTCTTAAACTGTTCTCAGGTCACAATCATCTATAATTTAGTATGTAGGTAAACAGCAATTATGTGTAAATGATTCCTATTGTAACTAAAAGGTAAATATTTCTTCCATTTTTTTGTTTTATTTTCCTCAAAACAGACTGTTTTTATTTGGTTTTCATTTGTGAACATCAGACAAAATAAATTTTGAAACTCTGCATGTCATCAGATGTGTTAGGTTAGAAGCAAAACAAACTCAAGAAAGTCTGCTGTTTCCCTCCTTCTCTGGCAGTGAGAAGGTGAGTGGATGCACAAATTTGGTTTTGTAGGAACCATCAACAAATGGAAAAACATAAAGAAGGCAGTTCTCAAGAGAGTGATAATAGGCTAAGGTTCCTTATTTAGAGTAACATCTGGAAAGAAATTTCAGAAGACTAGCACTTTAAACTCAGATTGCATTACCAATGGGTTTCCAAGTTTGTGGACTTTCTATTCAAGCAAATGAATTATGCATATTTTTATACAAATACTTATATTTTTTTCTTTCTTCCTCAAAGTACATGTTGTTGGAAATTTAATTTGGGGAGTTAAAGTGTACAGATTATATCTGTTAAAATGTATATGATAAGTTTTGAGATTTCTGTATACTTCAAAACACTTCACATTATTTTTAGTATATTTCATCATTTGGGCATATTATTGAATAAGTGGTATTCCATGTTGGGGCCTAACATTGAAGGTATTCAAGTAATTTACATATCTTTCAATAGAAAATATGATACTTCACCTTTTCAGTTAAACATGATCAACCACAGAAATAGTTCATAAGTTTTTCATAAAAATGGTTTTAATGTGTAAGCATCAAGGAGCTGTAAAATAATTCTTTTATATGAAAAAGTTTTACTTTATAAAAAATGCAAAACAATTATATGTATGGGTTGTTAAGGTCTATGAGCCCGTAGTTTGTCTTTGCCAAGTTGTGATTGTTAAAACCTGACAATATAAATGTATAAGGCAACACTTATAAAATACACAAGGTATCTAAAAAGGGTTTTTGTATTATTTACCATTTGAATTAATCTGATTGAATGATATTCTTAGGAGAGTATCATTCAATGAATTTGATTTTATTATTTTATTATTACTTGATTATTATTATTATTATTATTTATTATTATTATTGCTTGATTTTATTACATATTTTTGTAAAATATTTCAGGTTTGATCAGAGACTTTAATTCTGATAAATATTAATTATTTTTATAGTAATTATACAACTGCTTTAATTAAATGGTGATTTGTTTTTTTGTGCATTTATATATGAAGTTAAGCAGAAAGATCTTTGCCCCATCCAAGAAGGCCTTCCCCACTAAAAATCTGATGTTTTTTCATTTGGTCAGATTTTGAGAAGTTGATCATACTAACATTTTAGCATCCCTTGTGTGTGTGTGTGATGACTCTTGCTCTCTAGAGCATAAAAATAAATGTGATATGGGAGCCATCTATAAAGAAAGACAAGTGACATCAAGTCTTCAACAAGAGCAGCAGCTGTAACAAAAGAGTAAAAGCTTTGATGAGTGCAATCAAGCATGACAAGCACAGGCAACACTCATCAGCAGTCATGTTAAATTTAATTTTCACAGGAAATTGTGCTGTGAGACAATAGCTTAGTGGATTAAAGCATTGGTTCATGAGTTTAGTGACACAGTAATTGTGAGTTCAATCCCTGGGGTAAGTTGCATGTACATGGACTTTGGAAACAAAGTGAGCAATATAAATGTTAAAAATAAGAAATAGATGAGATATTCCTAGACATGGGAATGAGAACAGTCTACCCCTGTAGATGAAATAAAAGGTTCAGTTTAGAATTCCCTGTAGGTTACCTGAATCGGTATACATCTGATGAAGGCCAGAGGGCACTATGGAAAACAACAAAGATGAGAACAACAGTTTGCATGTAAATAGTGTAATAAAGATATCTTCTTATCCCAGAAATTCATACAGAAATTATTTTATTAAAATTACTACTTATTTTATTACTCAACAAATTAAAATATTACTTATTTTACTTACCATTCAAAATGTTTTAGTTTTAAATAACCCACAAAGGGTTGATGGATCTTAAAAAATAAAAATGACAAAAACATTACTTCAAAACCATTTTTTCTATTGGCATATATTTTCCATGCACTATAGTGATGGTTTGCAGTGCAAATAGCCTAATACATTTGATTACAAATCCTTAATAAATGAGCTCAGATATTTGTATAATTAATATATCTTTAATAATGAATATATTTTTAAAAATGTAAATCACTCAATAGCATTTTATAGCTACTCCATAAACTGGGTTTCTTATCTGAAACTCATACATCTGTTCCTGATCATCCTTGCAACTACAGTTTCAAATGAAAGAAATTTGTCAAGTTTGGACAGAATTTGATCATTCTTAAGATGCATAATGGCTCAAGCTTGGTTGTCTTCACATGCTTGCATTTCCATTGAGAAAACACATATGTGTTGGTTTAGAACAAAAATGAATTATATGACAATATATTAGAAGAATTTGCTATAGAATGCAGGTACCTGAAATGGATCTTTAAATGAAGTTTTTTTTCTTATCAAAATTTATGTCTTTTTACTTTTAATGAACTAATGCAGTGCCTAGTCCCTGTAAATCCATTATTGATTTTCTATTAAAAGAAAAAACCCATCATATGATTTTATGATAGAAATACATTGAAAATTTAAAATGAAAGAAATAATTTGTATTTTCTAATAGTCCCTACCACACTAAATAATTATAAATATTATAACTTGTGATTTTTTTGTTTATTAAATAAACATATATTTGCTATAAACTATGTAAGATAGTCAACATATTCAAAATATTGAAATCAACCATTGCAAATCATTTGAACAAAGTGCCTTCTGTTTAAGTTAAATGCAAGAAAGCAGGTTTAAAAATGGTTCAGATAAGTTGTCAAATCCCAAGCCCTTAAGTGGTAACTTTATTTTGAAAAAATTCTACAGAGAGAGGAAAATAATAATGTTGGTCTTCATACAATAGCCTGTTGTTGAGTAATCTCAGTGCAAGTATGCACAGATTTCTTCACTAGTATATAGTAATTAGATGCTTAAATTCTTCTACTGAATATTGTATCCTAAATTGTATGTGTAATAAAGTTTGTTAAAAACAAATTTTGTACTCAGCCTAAGTAACATTGATGAGCAAAAGTTACACACACATATTCCCAAATTAATTGGCTGATAATTAAAAGCATACATTTCCTGGTAACAAAAGTTTCAAATTTCTCATGAAAAATAAGTAGGAAGCCACTAGTCTTTCTACCATTCTTCTGGCTGCTGTGTTAAGCATTAATGACTCATTTTACTCTTTTAGACCAACAGAAATTACCTGGGGCTGTTCCAAAGAAAACAAGATAACACTTCTGACGTATGTTTGTCAGTATATTTTAGGCTTTCCCTGCAATGGGGAGAAGATAAAGTTCAGATACATTTAGGAGAAAAGAAACTAATTTTTTATTGCATGTATCTTATTCTGTTTGTCTATTTCTTCCTTTTCTCTTTCTATCTAATCCTGTTTCTCTTACTCTCATTATCTATCTATCTATCTATCTATCTATCTATCTATCAATAACTTTCATTTTGTTTCTATGTATCTAATTATGTTTCTCTCCCTTCTATTCTGTTTCTATCTATCCATCAATCCCATTCTGTTTCTATCTGTTTATCTAACATTCATATTGAGCTGTTGAACCCTGATACTTCAAAACCAATGGAAGAGACCATCATGGCTGTTTCAGTTTATATATATTTATGAACATACTGTGTGCATGAAATATATGAAATTTTGTCAATCTTAATTATCAGCCATAAGCTGTGATCCCAGCATTTGGCTAAGAATGAGCAGTCTCTGGTAATGCTCACATCAGTAATGGTATGTATAGGTGACAGATTAACCTAATGGTAAGTGGATGTTTACCACCCACAATTTGGCTTATAGACTTTTGTTTAACTTTAGCAGCATTTACACACACACACACAATGGAGTGTTTGCATATGAAGGACAAAGTAACTGAAAGATACAATTGTCTACACTCTGAAAAGCCATTAAGAACATGGTTGATTAAAATGAATTCATATGGAATAAATTGTTAGAAAATTCTATTTAAATATTGTACTGAATTCTTGGGATGAGAAGTTATCATTATTTACATGCAGACTATTGTCTTCATCTTAATTATCGTTATCACAATGTTTCAGCCATTGTGTACCCCAACTATCATCAGGTGTATGTTGATCCAGGTAACTTACAAGGATTTCAAACTGAACCCTTTATTTAATTTATGAGAGTAGATTGTTCTTTTTCTACAGCTCATGTCTCAGAATATCTTATCTAGTTCTTATTTGGTACAGCTCAGTTATTGCTCATCCTGTTTCTACTGTGCCCAAGTACACACTGCCTGGCCCAGGGATTGAACTCATGACTACAAAATTCATTAACTAATGCTTTAATCCACTAGGTTATTGTTATTTAAATACACCTTAGTTGAACAAAAAAATGAACAAGTAAAATATATGAATGGGTATGTTGCATGACAGTTATCAGTGGAAAAAGTGAAATCAGTGAGCTTTTTGATTTCTAGCTTAGTCTTTTGCATTCAGTTCACACTAATTCTCTTGAGAAAGACTAGAATTTATATTTTGTTCCCTTAGCTATGGGTTAAATAGGTTTCTAGACTAGACCCTTTATCCTTCAGTGGCAACTAGGCTAAAAGGAAGACAATTCTGAATTCAAAACCATGGAAAGGTAACTGGAAATCATGCCACTATCTTTCCCAAGGACAATCATGACAATACAAAGTTATTAAAGAAATAGAAGTTGTGGTAAACCATGATCACCTATCTCTTGAAGAGATGTGCCTTTTTTTTTTTAATTAAAAAAGTACATATCATGATGGTGAAATAGATATAACTTATGATAGAATGGAACAGATTTTCTAATGCATAGTATTAATTATATTACCAGCAGTCATATTCACATTGAAAGCTGTTAGACTATTAATACTAATGATTTATTTGAAGTGGTGAAAGTTTGTGTAGGACCAGCAATTACAGAAAAAGGTGCACAATGTGGTATAACTTCACTGAACAGCACTTCTCAAGATTGCATATGTTACAAGGAAGCCAGAATATTCAAATACATTCATCCTTGGGCCAGTTTGACCTCCATGTCAAATCTGAATCACATTGGAGATATTAACTACACAATGAAGCAGCCATTCTCTGTTATTAACATGGTCATTTTTATATTTTTCCATCTATAATATTAATTGTATAGTGGAGTGAGAGTCTTTATATGTGTACATGAAATAAGCTTTTGTATAAAGTTTGTAAAAAACAAAGCAAAAATACTTTTAATGCACTCTAATATAATGCATCCACATTTTTTTTCAATTTAAAAGGATTTACATAGATTAAATTTATGGATCATGTTTTGTAAAGCAGGTTTGATAGAATGGAACAGATTTTCTAATGCATCATTGGATAACAAAGATGGTCTCTTAGAAACATTTCTTGCATTAAAAGAAATGAAGACAGATATATAGCCGTCTGTTTATTCATTTGCCTGAGAATAATTATGTAAAAAGTCTTTTTTATTTTTATTTTTTTTATGATTTTTCATTTGTTATTTTAGGGGTAGTAGAAAGTTTGTCACTCTCTTTGATTTGCAGATAACTGAGAATTTAAAACTGGATCAAATTTCACCTTTCACCTGAGGGCGTGTAAGATTGCTGCTTATTAATTCATAAAACCTGATATCCTTGCCAAAGAGAATTTATTTGTTAATTTTAGAAATTTTATGGTAACTTCAATTTGTGAACACAACTCCTTTATAGCATACACTAACATGACAAATGTTATGCAATAGCAGTAAGTAAAGGTGATGCCGCCATAGCTTGATATCATGTAAATTCTCATACCTATATCAATTAGTATCTGTTGATTCAGTGTGAACAGTGACTAGGCTGCTTATGGTAAGAAGACATTAGTTTGAATGCGGCATGATAATGTGTTTCAGACAGATGGAACATTCTATTTTTGAAATTGTGGGGATATTTATCATTACTTGATCTACAAGGTACCATGAATATCTGACAGATGGACCATTCCTAGCCATGAGTCTTTAATGATCATAACCAGAATCATCTGCCGAGAATTGTCTTTGGCAAAAATCAAGCAACCTTGCTCAAATCACACCCTTAATAAGGTACAATACAGGCTGATGGTGGTAGTGTGTAGTGTGATCATATCACTTGGGTTGTGCCTGGTAGTTTGACTGAACATGTCATTAACTGGTGATTATGTTTCACTCTTTCATAACAATTTGCAGTCATTTATGATTATTCCCAAAGGATACTGTCTTGTTTTATTGGGTCCAAATTGCCCAGAATTGCCTTGAGGATCATTCTAGTGATTTCACAATGTTTGCCTGACATGAACCCAATCAAATATTTATGGGACATGATGGCAAGATCTATTCCCATATAAGATTTAGCACCCTACAAATATTAGGGCGTTGTGAATAACTATTGAGATGTCATGGCTCAATATCTCTGCAGAATTCCTCTAACCACTTATGCTGCTGGGTAAGAGTTTGTTCTACATGATACTAGGAACCTGTCCCATGACTTTCTCTCTCTCAAAAAAAATAAAAAAATAAAAAAAACTGGAAATTTGATTTTGTGCATTTAGTGTACCATGTCAAATGTCAAGAAAAATTTGTTAGCCATTAACATCATTTGGTGCATATTTTCATATTATTTTATGTTATTTTGGCATTAATTCATGATACTTTTTTAAATAATTATTTTCATTCTGTCACTTTTTCATATAAAAATTTATTTGTTGTATAATAAAAATGTAAACAAAATCAAAAATAAGGTTGTTTATTTTCCACCAAAGTGGTCAACATTTAACCACAAATTCTGTTGATTTTATGATCATAGTTTTTATGTGAATATTAATCAGCATTCAAAGAGCTTTCTAAAGATACACAACTTGACCATATGAGGAGATATGAAAATGTTAGCATATAGTGGCAAATAGCAAAATTCACCATTTTGAATTTGACCCAACTCAGTAAAACCCTTGTAACTCAGTCCACCATAGAATTTTGTACATATCTTGCCATAAAGCAAAAAAAATTTAAAAAATATTAAAGATATGCTTTTTGGGAAATTAAAGATAAAATTTACCTTTAAACCAAAAAATAAATAGATCACTATTTGATCCCTTTAAAATGGTAATTTACCTTTGTAAGTGAAAAAAACCCTGAGATATTGGTATTCAAACTTTGTGACTATTTTCCAAAATTCACCTTTTTGGCAAGGATCAAAGGAAACCCTAGATTCCATTCAATTTCATCTATCTTGCCAAATTTGAAAAAAAATGTGTTGGTCAGACCCTTGTTGATTTGATATATTTATATATATATATATATATATATACTGGTAGGACTATGTTCAAGATCTATATTATTTATTCTTATCTATCTTTACTCTGTATCATGTTTGGCTGGTTCATCAGGAAAGACTTAAAATATTTTGAGATTTCTGAAATTAACTGTGCTTATTACTTCCCATGTTTTATTTTTGGCAAGTTTCTACATTTTCTTTATCTCATCTAGGCTTCAGTAATTAAATTCTTGGTAGGTAAAACAAGTAATAACTTAGGATTTCTTGGGAACTGATTGTCAGGTAATGGTTTCTCTCCATTTAAGCTACTGAACCTAGGAGAATTAGACATTTTTTTTATTAATCCATAATCTTTCCGTCATTGTTTTTCCAACGTAACTTGTTTCATTGTTCAAGCAGTAGATCTTTTATTTTCCACACACACATATACAGTGCAACTCAAAAAAGTTTGCAAATATTGATATTTTACATTTTCCCTAATAAAATATGCTTTTATGGACAAAAGTTGAATATTTTAATTCCTTACTGCTCGCCCAATGCCCAAACATTACATCTTGGAATAAATTATGAAAATTAGCTTTATTCGTGATTTTTTTTTAATTAAGGAAATAATACTGAGTAAAAGTTTTTGCAAACTTTAATTTCAATGCAAAAAATAGGTTCTGTTCAAATCAATTATACATAATAATGACAAAGTGTATTATATATTATATACCGATGAAAGTTGAGATGGCTTTGTTTAGATATGAATTTATGAAAACACAAGGAGCATATTAAAATTTAATTTTTCGACCATCATTTTTAAGAAGCTCAATAAATTGTTTATTGCCAGATGAAGTGAGTTTCCTAACTTTGCTGGCTTTAATTTTAGAACAAACATCCAAAATGCACTTCCACAGGTGATCCTTGTTAGAAAATTGCCATCCATTTTCATAAACTTGACACTTTACCATGGCCCAGAGCTTCTCAATAGGGTTTAAATCGGGACTCTGGGGTAGCCATACCATAATCTTGTCTACTGTAAAACCTTGATTTGCCAACCACTCTTTGGTGAAGCATGCCACATGACTGGGAGTATTATCTTGCTGATAAACAAGATTACTACAGAACTCATGATTTTGTTAAGTCAACCAGGGTATGAAATTTTCTTTTAAAAATT